TGGGACCCACTTCCCACCGCCCATGCGCATGCTTTTCTCTAACCCTTACCATTGCCCAACACCCAAACCCATCCTCCCATTCCTTTGCCCTAATTCTAATCTATCTCGTCTTTAACCCCGACCATCATCGTTCAATTCAACTTAAGTATAGTTCAATTAATATATATTTTTGGTATGTCGGTTGAACTAAAAAGAAATTACCAAAAATTTATGTTGGTATATTTTTCGAAGAATAAAAAATAATTGTATTGAGATATAAACGTTCTCTCAAATTTTTTTATTTTTTTTATTTTTTTTTTGTAACAATACCGATTCGAATAGCTGTTCATTTTTTTGGAAAAAAGTTACACAACATAGTTTATTTATTATTTTTTCTTTTTTTATTTTGTCTTTCTAATTATTTAGAATCTATTTAATAGAATTAAAACGGCCAGTTATTAATGGAATTCCTTGTCGGCTCTCTATAAAATACTCATTTGGATGAGGGTTTCCAAAAACATCGTAAGCTAAACCCGTGCTGACGAATAACCAACCTGCAATGAATAGAGAAGGTATAGTAATGCTATGAATGACCCAGTATCGAATACTGGAGATAATATCAGCAAAAGAACGTTCTCCTGTGCTTCCAGACATGCCGAGCTCCACATATTCTTGTACAGTCAAAAGGGGATTGATTCTGTAAAAGATGAAATCAGTAAATGGAAATTAACTGAAATTTTATCTTTGTAAGATCGTCAATATTGTACCGAGGGTGTTTTTATAGTATACCGAATCAGTATAGCTATCCTTCTTCTGACGCAGCAACGCAATTTCACAATCAACATCGAAACACGTTAGCTTTCAATTTTGTTTTAAATTTTTAATCAATTTTTTATTTTATAGTTAAAAAATGTTGGGTTTTTTTCCCTAAACTATTGTAATTCAAATAATAGGTCGAGAATTTAGGGACGAGACATACCATACCATACCTTGCATGACATTAGATTATATTCTCACGAAATAATAATAATAATTTTAAATAATACTTCATCAAGAGTTACATGCATAGCCATTAAAATTTTAAATTTATATATCTAAACAAAAACTTTAATTACCAAAGATATTAATATTATCCGATAATAGTAAACAATATCATATCGAAAATTTTAAGACATCGGTCTCTTCTTAAATAGTTGTATCAATTTTAAATTTTAAAATATTATTAATACAAAAATTATTATTGGTGACGAAATGATCATAAAATTTTTGAAGAAATAAGAGGTAAGGAGTTCAATCCGTGATGGCTACCTACCTGAAATTTGATATCCGCTCAAGTTTGACCTTAGATGTCAATTGACCAAAATCTTAATGATAGTATTATTTTTTTCTAATAATAAACATAAATGATAAATAAGTTTCATTACATAATAAAATGTACTGATAATTTTGTAGTTTTTTATTTTGTTTTTTGAAAAAAGAATAATTTAGGGGAAAAAAAGAAAAATAAATAAACAAAATTAAGCACTTTTAGTCTCAAAAGAGCCATCATCGTTCATTTCCATTCCATTTTCTCTCCTCTTCTGAAAATCTTCAAATTTTTTCAGCTCAAATCATCAAAATCGAAGCTCACTTCGTGGGTTTTTGAAATCATTGAACAATTTTGTGGTTTCAAAGCTTAATTTTATATTAATTTTGTGTACAACTGTAATGGATCGACCCGCCGCCGCTCCCGGCCGTCATCTTCCGCCGCCGTTCATTTCAAGAGACCTTCAACTCAATCCCCACCACCATTTCCTCCACCAAAACCCCGACCAACACAACGGAAATGATATCTCTGACGGCGGAGTCGCCGTGGAGCTTAAGGAGTTAAGCGGCGGCGAGGGCTCGAGACGGCCACGAGGACGCCCGGCTGGGTCGAAGAACAAGCCGAAGCCGCCGATGATAATCACACGCGATAGCGCTAATGCACTACGGTGCCACGTCATTGAAATCGCCAACGCCAACGACGTGATCGAAACCCTAATGATTTTCGCACATCAGCGCCAACGTGGCATTTGCATTCTGACCGGCGCCGGAGCGGTCACTAACGTCACACTCAAACAACCGGCTGCCTCCGCCACCGGTACGGTGATCGCTCTGCCGGGGAGATTTGAGATTCTTTCGCTGTCGGGGTCGTTTCTGCCGCCGCCGGCGCCACCAGTAGCGTCCAGGCTGACCGTGTATTTATCGGGCAGACAGGGGCAGGTTATAGGAGGAAGCGTGGTGGGACCACTTTTGAGTTCGGGACCGGTGGTGATTACTGCGGCTTCGTTTGGAAACGCGGCGTACGAGAGGCTGCCGTTGGAGGACGATGAAATGGCGGTGGAGACAGCGGCGGAGGCTGGAAGTAGTCCGGTTAAGTCGCCGGGAACTGCCGTGCAACAGCCACAATTTTCGCCGGAAATTCATGGAATGGCGCCAAATCTAATGAATACCTGTCAATTGCCGACGGCGCCCTACTGGGGCACAGGTCGTACTCCGCCATTTTAGCCCCAAAAAACATCAACTTTTATGAAAATTGTGTGTTTTTTTTTTCTTGTGTAATTTTGTTTATTTGGAATAAACCTTAATTTCTTCGCAATTTATTTTTTGTTAAAATTAATTAATAATTGTTGGTTCTTTGAGCTGAATTGAAATTCAAAGATGCTTCTTCTGGTAGCTTAGAGATGAAGCACTGACAAGAACAGCAATTTCTTTTTTTTTTCTTTTTTTTTTATATTTTTAATTTTAATTTTTGGTCTTTTGGTTTGAAGTTCTAGGTAAGTTTTTTCCAGAATGTTAACACAGCTGGAAATATTTTAAACAACAAAAGGGGTTTAATTTTGATTTTTTTTTTTTATAATATTTATTTCCTTCCTCACAAAAAAAAAATAATAATAATAAATTTCTCGGAGTTTTTTAATCATAAAAAACTGAAATGGAGTCGAAGTTAGAGCGGAGATTCAAAATTCTGACCTCGTGATTTAGTATATATTTTATGTCGATAGTAGGTTAAGCTATATGTCTTAAAGTGTTCAAAATTATCGTTGCGTGTTGTTTTTTTATGAGAAATTAGGGTTAGCGGTGAGGCGAAAAATTGATTAGCAAATATTTTTTTTGCTTAGGAACGTTATCAAACGAGACATAAATAAATTCGAAATCTCATCTGGCCGTTCTATCTCTATCTCTATATTGTTTTGTCCAAAGTGAAACCCTAGCTACCTAATTTGGTATGGGGCTTTAGGTTTAATTAGCTATGGCTTTAGGTTTTGGTTTTCTCATTCATGGAGTTTCCACCATTACCAAAAATATTCCTTTTATTTATTTATTTATTATTTGGTTAAAATTAGGTTTTGGTCCATGTTTATTTATTTAGTTTTTAAATTCATAATAAAATCTCAAAAACCAAAAAATAATTATCAAAACCACCATAAATATAATGATTTCAAATTTTTTCTTTGAATAGGAACAACTGATTGGAATTAGAAAAAAAAAATCAGTTTTTTCCTATGATATTTGCTTTAGATCGATTTTAATAAATATAAATATAAAATAAAACAGATAGTATGGTAGTCCTACTTTTAACGCTTTAGGCTTAGGGTTTCAAATCATAGTTCGAATTTTATATAGAGAAATGTTGGGACCTTCATGTGTCGAATGTAGTTCTAAATCTTGATCTAAATACTAATACTGTACAATTGTTTAAAAGATTTGTTCTAAGAAAATTTGATATCCCATGGTAATATGGGTATGATATGAACATAATTTAGGAATAATATAAGGTCCAAAAGCATGAAAACATTAATGAATAAAACAACTATGTACAAACAAATGAGTACTAGTACTAGAAGAACGTCGTTAATTATGTAAATAAACCTCCATGAATGAATAAAAATTGACGGTGACTTGTTTGGGAGGGTAAATTTGGAATTTAGAAGATAAAGCAAGAAATATAATTCTGAAATAAGAACAAGTTTGATGTAATAGCTCAAGATCACTGATAATCGATATTATTCACCTTGGCCTGTTGTGTATCGTCGTCAAGACTCCCAACATATATTGTTCACCTTAGTCCGTTACGTATCGCTGTCAATACTCCCAACGCATGATTAATAATTAAAAGAGAGAGAGAGAAATTGAGTTTGATAGAATAGGCAAAAATAAAGATTCCCAAAAACTAGACTAAAGTATTTATTTTTCTTTTAAACTTTCTGCTGCTCTTCTTTCAAGAAGGAACTATTAGCCTTCACCAAAAAACCAGAAGTGTAGCTGAAGGGAAATCTGAAACTGCACAACACTACATATTCCATCCTCCAAATGCCTCCTTTCTGCATTATCTCTGCTTCTTACTCCAATTTTCTCTCTGTTCTTTAAAAACTCTTTTTCAACTTGAAGCTTCCTCTTTATGCACAAACTCCTAATATAATTTGTATTAATTTTGTCATTTTTGTTTTACTTTTACCCGGGCTAGTAAAACACTCAAGTCTCCGTAATAGAGTCAATTCAAGTATACCTCTATAAGTAAAAAATTACTGGTTATCTTAAAGATCGATCTCCTATCATTGACGTAAGACAGCTTTAATTTAAACTAAGGTAACAGAGTAATGCTCTCAAATTATACCAACTTTCGAACATACCTAACTAGCAAACGTAATGTAAGATCAACCAAAAGGTTAAACGTTCAAATTTTTACGTTCATATAATAATGTAATTTTCTTTAATGTAAAATAATTATAATTAATTCAGAAAGTTGAAATAACTTGATAAGTATGCAGTCTAAGAGAGATGAGAATGACGCACAAATTAGCTGTTAGTTCTTCGAATGACGCACAAATGAGCTGTTGGTTCTTCTCACCATTCCCTTAGCTCCAAGTCTTTTCTGCTTGTTTCAAATTACAAGATAGAAAAAGATTGCCAATAATCTGTCAAATATATAAATCAACAGTTCTTGGGGATCTTCCTAATCAATTTAATGCCACATTCTTAAACAAGCTAAGATAAAATAATAATAACAACAATAATAAATAAATAAATAAATGTTTAGGCAATAATTGATTCCCCAGGCACCCACAGTATCTAGGGGTGGAAAATTTTTTCAAGGAATTTCCCAGTCTGAAGGGGACAAAAAAGAATGAAATTTAAACAGTTTGCATTGCAGCAGATCAATTTATACAATATTCAATCCATATTCCCAAAATACTAAGTGGGTCCCAATTTAAGGGAGTTTGGGACTCTCACTCTACAACTTTTCCCCTTTCTCTCTCTCTCTCTCTCTCTCCTCTTCTATTCCAATCATTTCCCCATCCATACCAATCAAAGGCCTTTTTAATGCTTTAATCAATATGGAAGCTGCCCCCCGGATTAAGCATCCCCAGCCCATCTCATAGATACAACAAGAGTTTTTAAGAATTGAGTTCAACTTACCTGTGGTTTCGTTCAGCAGGAAGACTTGAGAGAGAGAGAGATTGAGATGCAACCGTGATGATCATAGGAAGTTCTTCGATCCAAGGCTGGGATGAATTAGAAAGAAATCCCAATAATGTGTAATTGGCAGAGTAATTAGCATTCAATTCTCAGCCTTCTCATTTCAGATCGAAAGACGGGACTGGAAGTCAGTGTTCGACGAGCAAGATTCCGTATATCCTCTCTGGAACAGTCGCGCGATATGCGAATTAACTCCCAAAGTGCACCTCCACTAATCATCTCCTTTGCATTTACTTCTAGAAAATTGGAAATTTAATGACAGATTAGAACGGGATTTAAGTTTTGATGTAGCAGATTTATGATCATAATGATTATGAGAGGTTTAGAAAGAATGAAGCCTGACTAACCATGTTGTGCTAAATGGCATAACGCAAGCTCGATATGGCGACGGATTGGTGCCACTTCATTGTTTGCATTTTGTATGATCCAAGGGAGACCTCCATCTTCTATCAAAAGAGATCTGCCGCTGTTCGTCCCTGAGATAAAGAGCAATTAATCTAACAAGCATTGTTCATCAACATTGACAACTGTTTCGTTCTAGATGTTGAGGATTGTTGTTGTCGTTTTAGATGTCGAAGATTGTTGGGAGGCAGTCCACGTTGGCTCATTTAGGAAATGATCCTGAATTTATAAGTAAGAATACAACCTCAATGGTATGAGGCCTTTTGGGAAACCTAAAGTAAAGCCACGAGAGCTTATGCTCAAAGTAGACAACATCATACCATTGTGGCCTCTGAACCTTTATAACAGCAGATGAGTCGGATTCCTAACACCAAAATCATTATTAAAATTGGGCATTTACCGTGACTAGCTGCTCGAGATTCGCATTTCGCAAAGTTTGCTACCCCACGAGCAACCTGAGAAAGAACATCTGGATGTCCACATCGCACCATTCCCAGCAAGGCTTTTAAACCACCTTCAGATCTCAGTTTCATCTGCAGTTTTTCTAGTAAAAAGTAGAGAGACCAAAACATAGCTGGTTAATTGAAATGATATGATAAAATAAGCCAGAAATTAACAATCAGATATAGTAAAAACTCCAAAGATTTAATTGGGGAAGTACATCAAACCGACTTCTCTCTAAACCCATGTTTCTAACCACTTCATCTCAAGAGTGGCAGATGAGTTATTATAATAATTTGTTAATTTTTATAGAAAACCATACCTTTATTGAGAAAAATAAAAGAATACAAGGACTATACAAATGGGATCATTTCTTTTTTTATTTCAAATTAAGAAAATAGTGAGAAAAATTGAAAGAATACAAGAACATACAAACGGGATAGTTTCTATTTAATTTGAAATTAAGGAAATAATATTAAAACAATCTCTATATATTGAGGGTTTAGATGAACAGGCAATGTTTGATCTTCCTCAATCTACCAATAGTGAATTGCGGGAAACAATTTCCTAAAGTAACTCATTGCTAGATACTGTCAAGAGATCAAGTTCTATTTTCATACCATTGCCACATAAATTAGCAATGGCTCCAGCAACCATGCGCAGAGTCTGTGGGTCCTCAGCAGCATTGGCAGTCAATGACAGTAGACTGATTCCCCCTTCAGCCATTATTCGTTCTTGATTGGCTTCTGTTATGTCAATATAGTAATATATAAATATATCAAAGCAAAGAAACTGAAATTAGGAAGCAACACACTCGATATGTTGCTGTCAGTAGGCAGAAAAATATGGATGAACATTTACCATTCATAGCAAGGTTGGCAATTGCACCGGCTGCTACTCTTCTAACCGTTTCATCCTCATAGCTTCTAAGAAGCATCAGTAATGAAATAAGACCACCAGACTCAACGATCCTTTTTTGATTTGACTCTGCTAACCACAATGCCAAAAGCAACCATAAAACTCAGAAATAAAGGAAGGCATCGAGAGAAGAAACAATAGTGTCATTGTAGAGCAGAAAATAGAAGTCTATTATTTATTTTTTGTAAATATTCATTTTAATAATAAACTGATCCATACATTGACATCAGAAATGGATTAAAAAAACGAGCATTTTTAGGGGTTAAGTGATTACGACCGTCTATGATAGCCAATGGCCAGTGATCACTGGATAAGAATATTTAGAAAGGTTAAAAACTACAATCAAAGGCAACAAAAAGTAAGGACTTGTTTCAATCAAATTTCTCGTGCGCTTTAATATTTTGGCAGAAACAATCGAAAATTTCACTGGTCAGCTACATGATTTTGCATTTACTTAAAGAAAAAAATAACCATCAAGAGAAACATCCCGAGAAAAGTCGCTAAAAAGGGGGGGAAATCCATTTAACATGAACTTGGATTTTCATTTTGACAAGACATTCAACTCCGATGGTGATAGACAAAGTAATTTCACAAAGCTTGCAAGTAACTATACATGCCAGCAACATGCATATCAGAGAATTCTTAGAAATAAAATCTGAAACATAGTGAACATGTAAGAAATATCCTTAAGAGCAAAACTTGCCTTCAGCAGCAAGATTGGCTAATACTTTAACAGCATGAATTCGTACATTGGCATCTTCCGAGTCCAGCAAGGACAAGATTTTTTGCAAACCAACTGCCAAGGAGGCAAGAAATAATAAGAGAAATATAAAGAAAGAAATGTGGAGGTGAGATTAACGTGAATGTCATACTATATTGCCAAATTCTTGGTTACCTTGTTCAAAGAGAGTGGCAACTGATGGCTTGTGTCCGCTCTTTGTTTCTTTGAGTTGAGAATGTCTAAATGGAGACATAGAAGCATCATAAGCAGAAAATCCGTTTTCAGCTCCACCCCTATCAAGACACCTTCTCATCTGCATGCCAGCACCAAAATCATTTTATTTACGATTTATGATGTCATCAGCACATCTTTCTTTCAATGATTGCCAAAACTCCCGCCCCCACTTTAATTTCTATACACAGAAAGCCTATATCTTTTGGCGCACTTGGTTAAAGAATGAGACTATTACCTAATCCTAGCGACTCAATAGTTCTAGAACTCAAAAACTTCCCTCCAAAATGAAATATACAATCAACATTGTGCATGTTTTAAGTAGATAAAGAACTTAAAATACTTCCAAATCAAGTTAAAAATTGCAAGAGCATAAACTAGAGACTTGGGCATACGGAAAAAAGCAACCCTAGTTTCAACAAGACAATGAAATTATTTTCTATGTAACCCATACCTGCTCAGCTTCGAGGGTCAGTTGCAACAATTGGCTTCGTAATATTATTACTTCTTCTTCAATTTTCTTTTTCTGAAGAGCCTCCTCCTCCATTAATTTAGTGAGTTTTACAGTATCAGGTTCATCACCTACCTATATACGCCATAAATCACATTCAGTTGCCATGTACCATGCATAGATGTTGACAGAAATCAAACGTAATTTTTGAAGTAATCCATTTATCGATACACACATTTGGCTGCCTGTATAGCTCTAGCTGATGTCTAAGCCTGCTGACCTCCTCTTCAGCTGCCTTTCTCAGATTTGCTTCATTTTCCAGCAACTTTTTGACTTCAACTTCTTCAGCAGCAGAAAAACAGCCCCCCTACATAATCCTCCAAAATCAATGTTTGAATGTCAGATAAGCATCCTTAACCCAGAGAGACAAGTTGTAGTTACCACATCAACAATGGACGGGGAGCATTCATACCATGGAGTAGCATAAATTGTAAGTTGCAAGATTTCAAACCATTAAATTAGTGGATATCTTTTACAGCAGTAGAATTTGCATTTGGCTGCATTACAACTTATAAAAATGTAAATGACTAAAGTGCTTCGATAGAATGCCTAGATGGTTATTTTGTGGATGATTTGGTTAGAAAGAAATGATAGAATTTTAAGGACATTCCAAGAAATTTGAGAGAGATTTGCAAAATCGACAACATTCAAGCATACAAATAAAACGGGACTTAACATATAAAAAATACCCAATGTAGTAGACAAGTGTTAAAATGTTTAGAATCACGTAACCATATTTCCATATTTAAGAACATCGATCTTCTCTCTTTTGCCCTCATCAATAGTAAAAGGCTCCTACAGAAGAAAACTAACGTAAGAAATAGATAGTTTTACCTGTCCACTCCGTTTGTCACGGACAGAATCATCATGATCAATCTTTGGCTGGTTCAAGACCAACTTCTCTTCCAATTTCTTGACAGTTTCCATATAATCCAGCTGGCATTTTTTACTTTCCTTCTACATAAGACATTAAATCATTTCAAACAACAATAAATAGTGGTAAATGCCCTCCTCTCCACATGAAGCCAAAAGAGGGGAAAAAAAAAATAAAAATAAAAAAGGCCAAAGAAATCATGAGAATTACAAGGTCACGAAAGATCAAAAACAAAACAAAACAAAACAATTCCAGTTGTCAGAAAATAGAAGAGAACTTAAATGAGACCGCTTATTGAAAAATGTTTTGAGAACTGACAAAAAACGGGAACAGAACTATCCTAAATAAGCCGAAAGCATTTATTAACATTTCCATCTCTTTAGAAATTAAGAAGCAAGAGAAAGACCATGTAATTAAAAAAAATTACAAGCCAGAACAGTGGTTATATGCTCAGTGATTAAACATGTAATAAGGGTCCCACAACCCCTCAGTCAAAGTCAAGAAACTAGCAGTTCGCCTTTGGAAAGGAATAAAGAATTTCAATCTTTTGATAATGAATTGATTGACCAGAAAAATAGTTGAAAGGTTGTAAAACACGATACTTCAAGCTCCTATGAAAGTAAACAAACCTCCAACGCATCAGCAAAATTTCTCTCAGCCTCAGATATGCGGTTTTGTGCTTCTAGATGTATCTTTTCCAATTCATCTTCAAAAGCTTTCTGTTGTCTTTCATTTTCAGCAATCAGTTTGTCCAGCTGTACTTCAAGCTTCCTGGACAAACTTTTATAATCAAATTCTTCTTTTATTTTCAACATATTCTCCACCTTCATAGCCTGTAACAGAAGAAGCAATTAAAATTATTTCGTCTATGTAGTAATAAATAGATTTTTCACATAATGAGGATAGGAACAAGTGAAAAGAGATGCTCCAACAAAAAATATTGAAGAAAAATAGTCTGCAATGTGACCCATATTGTCAACTTAGAAAATTCAAGAGCATCACCCTTTGGCCGAACAGAATGGTACTGGAAGTCTCTCCTCGATGGCGTGGAGATGGACCAATTGTCACAATCAAAGAAGTTCTTGCTGAACCTGTTTTACATAAATAGTGACTTTAAAAGAGAGTAGGCAGTAAGAGTAACAATCTAGCAACATTTTTCCCCTGACTAAAAAAATACAACTTCCACATCCACTAAGGTTCATGAAAGTACAGAAGATGGCAACTAAAATGGGGGCAGCAAAGCCAAGTCTGAGAACTTCTAAAAGTGTCGCCACCATTAGTTGACACAAGATCAGAAAATGAGAGCAAGATAATAGAGATGTTCCAATAGGAACCGAACATGGGTGAAGCAAGAGACAAGTGTTGAAATATCTCACTAGCCCAATAAAGTCTAGCCCAATAATTTTACGAGCCCATTGTATATTTATTTTAGTAGAGATTTTAGAAAAGATACCTAGAGATTTTAGGAGAAGAGATCTAGATATTTTAGGAAAAAATTTAGATTGGTTTGATTTAGATTTAGATTTGTTAGGTCTAGATTGCCTAGGCTCTAGTATAAATATCCCTCCACCCTACCTATGTTATTCATCCAAGAAATCCAAAACAATAAAAAACTCTAGTATTCTAGAGAGTGTCTTGTATTCTCTTTTCGATTGGTCTTAGTAAAGAGTGCGAATGTTTCCCACAGAGAGTTGTGTTCAACAACAAGTACTCCTATAAAATTTCCTGCACCAAGTCCTTAGTACTAATACTTTGAATTCAAACTACCAAAAGAAACTGATAGGAACAAACTCGCAATTGAAAATCAAGAAAATGGGGAGCTAAACTGTATTACAATATCAAAGGAAAATACTAAGGTTTACTAAACTCTGAAGAGGCTTAACTCTCTCAAAAATAATCCCAAGATATACACTAACCATCATTATCTCCTTGTCTGCCAAATTACTACAAATCGAGCATTACCCAAAATACACCTTGCCTTCAAAGTGTGGGGTAAAAGATGGTGCTTGAATATAGCGAAGATTTGTCAATTCCAAGGCAGAGAGGGAAAAGATAGTTTAAGGACAACTTGGCCTATTCCATTACAACTGACATAATGTGAAATCAACTGATTGACTCTTTAAGAGTATCTGTTGCAATTATGTTCAAGAAGGTTCTTCATTTTAATTTACTCAAGAATTGGGAGCAATACTTAAGAGAAATTTTATTTCATTTCTGTCCTTTTTTTTCTTTCAGAAGGTAATCATATTTTTCATTTCCGCTTCCTTTGGTATATACTAAAATACTAGGATTTAATATCTTTTCCAATTTTCCTTTATTTGATCAAAGGCACTCTCTACCATTTCAAACTTCCAGAAGAAGGTTGGAACATGCAATGCTATATTCATTTCTTTTCCCCTACGCTAGAGAATACACGCATGTCCATCTTCAGCTTTCAGTAGTAATGAGTCATAAATTACTATTATAGAGAAAATAGAAGCCCGTGACCTGTAAATCTTACCTCCAAATGAATCTCTGAGCAATCTCGTAAGTTTGGAATCTCGTATTGGAACATGAGCACTATTTTCTGCCAAAGCATTTATGCATTTTCCTAGAGCACTAAGTGATAGATTAATATACTTAGCTTCCTCCAACAGATGCCCCTCACTCCCTGCAAGAAAAGGAACAGAGATTAGAAGATTTCAAAAGAATAAGTTATTGTGTGTAGCTGTTAAAAACATTGACAATGAATCAAACTAAAATCAGTGAATTAAATTCTAATGCATAGTTATATCAATATAATGTAATTAATTTAACATAATAAATTACAAAACAATATGTTGACGTGGAAACTATGGCACTCTTCGGCTTTTAATCTGCTTCCCAAAGATAATATTTAGCCATTTCTAAGTAGACCAAGCTAAAAGAGGAAGGTTGAAGCCTTGAGGGTCAATACACTTTTTCCTTTTATTTTTTCATTTTTGGGCAAAATTCACATAGGTTCAAACCTACGACTTGGAGTAGAAATTTTTATCCACTGAGATCAATGCCATTAAAGGCACTATTATGTGGACTATGATTAGAAAGAAATCAAATAACTTTTAAGGAAAATGTGGCGAGTGGGAATAGAGAGTAGCCTTAGCTCAATTTGTAACTGTTGTTAATTTTAATTAATTCTAACTGGAATGCATTTATGTAAAAATCTCATAAGAGAAGTTTTACAAATCATTGAAAAGTCTCTTGTTTCAGAAAAAGCTATCAAATCACCAGAATTTTCTTTACCCTGATTACTCAAAGCTCTCACAAACAAGGTTAAGAGGATATTCCTCAATGAACAACTTTCTCGACAAAATATGATCCTCTATGTTCCATCCGTACGGTGCTGAGATGCAATCTTTTTTAGCATACGTCTTCTTCTCTCACCATTAACCCGATAGAAGAAAACATTTTTTTTCCACTAGGAACATTCTTTATCAAAAATTAAAAATCAATAGCAACTTTCCATTTTTGTTTATAATACAGCGTATAAATAAAATAATAATCAACAGCAACGCCTGATATTTATTCCAACTACCCTGCTCACAGAAGATTATTAAGGCATCATCTAAGCCAACAAAAGAAAATTCGTACAAAATTTCAGAGTACAAATCTGTTACTGTCCCTGGAGAGTGGAGAGGAAACATACCTGACTTGTGAATACGCTCCGATCCTGCCAAATCCACTACGACCAGCTTGCTCTTTCGAATAAGTGGCCTGAATGGTCTACCTAACTCTGAAGGTTCACCCTCTTCATTTGACAGAACCTCTTCCCTTACAACAGATCTTTTAACATGTACCTGCACTACAGCATTGATATATTTGAATTATCAAGAATTCACAAAAGAGAGGTCTGGTAAACTCTCTCTTTCCCCAGTCAAGAAAAATTACTTACAAGCATAAGAAGAAAAGAAACTACCGAAACCACAGTCTACATACTACCCTCAATTCTCCCAGAATCCTTGCACCTTAAGTGGTCCCTCTAAAACGTTTTCTAACTAACTGGCTGGAGGTGTATTGACACACTTGCTCCAATGATAATATTTCGTATTGGGGGGCCTAAAAGTTTCATTCCTGATAATTAAATTGTATAAAATGAAATATTAATTTGCAGTCACATAAGGTTGTATAAACAGTAGGATGCTAATTATTCACCATCAGAATTGCATGGCTACGAGAAGACTCTGTATTCAACTTTGTATTGGCAGCAACCCGATGGGCCTCCCCCACACGTAGTAACTCTAGAAAACTGCTTTGGTTCCTGATTTCCACTACAGTTGCCCCAGGTACGGAAACATCACCAGTTTTTGGATCTTCCACAAACGGAATATTGTCATTTGCTGGATCAAGCAAGTCTTGTAGAGTCTCCATATAGAGCTAAACAACAGAAGCCCAAAAATATGATAGTAAGTCGTTTGCAAAGAAGCAAAAGACCTGAGTAAATTAAAAGACTGGAGCTCCAACGAAGTATGAAGGAAATATAATTCAGAGAATCAATAGTGTTAAACAGCATGAACACACAATCTATGTACTACTTTGTCCAGTGGATTAGCACCTGTAGGTAAGACACTGAAATTGAATCTGTTTCAGGTGATACATCAGCTAAAATATCCTCCATTGCACGGACCATAATGCCACGATCAGATGTATCTTCATCCCCTAATCGTCCAAGCGTAAATGTCTTCCCCGTACCAGTTTGGCCATAAGCCATCACGGTCCCATTATAACCATCTAGAACACTCTAAAAAAATAGAGCAGACAACCATCAGAAGAAAAAAATGAACTAAAATGTTATCTTACACTGCAGGAGCGTAAAATATGCCGTGCTAGTGTGGGTCATACATTATCATACAGTCAGACCAGATGAATCATAAAAAACACTACTATGTGGCATGAAATGTATCTGGTTCCCAACACCAATAAAACAAAATAATATTTCAAGCATAACGCACCTCCACCACTGGTTTTGCAACCACTTCATACACACGCTTCTGTGATGCAGATTCAGTAAGCACCTCATCAAACTCATATGTATCAGAATCCCAATTGTTTTTTCTAAGTTTCAATCTTTTAAGCTGCCATGAAGTAACAAAATAAGGTCAATGTCGAATGATATAATATGAAAAGAAAGAGTTCATTTTGAAGCTTCCAATGTATTCTGTTTCCATCATAATTTATCTCATTTTATTAAATTCATTTCCAATATTTCAGAATTCAAATTCAATACATTGTTGTTGGAAGTAATCTAATAATTCTCAAAAGTACTACTACCAGCAAGTGAATCAAATTAATTCAATTAAACATACGAGCATCATGTTTTTCCTAATCTCCTAATAGTAGAATTTGCTCCATTGTTCTGCTCAAGCTTGACTAAGGATGAAATAGAATTTTCAATTTCAGAGCGATAAGCAAATTTAACTTATGAATTTTCAAACTATGAGCTGATACTGATTGTTGAATGATTCTTAACATACAACCAAGAAAAGACTGCTAATTAACACATTTGCATCCAAAAGACCACTCAGGGGAAATTAATATAAAACACAAAAAATAAGAGGTGAGCGAGAAGCAGTCTAAAGTGTTTGAATGGAACAAAAAACAACAATAATAATATTAACCTCTGGCTGCAGTTCCACACAATCAGCAAAATCTGCATCTGCCAACCGCTCTTCTGCATTTCGGGGTCGCAATCTCACAGCCACTCGAACTCTTCCTGGCACTGACCAAATCATATAAAACAAGGAAGAAAATTACAAAGGTTTGATCATTGCACTACATATGGAAAAGAGGGAGAGAGAAAAAAGTAAAAATAGTTTCCATAAAGCAAAACTTAAATCTCAAGTGAGCAAACGTCCGATTTTCAGAAATCCTCCTTCTAATTCATCCTAACCTACTGAATGCACCAACATTATAAGTGCATCAATCTCGATTTATCGAACCAGGATACATAAAACTGCAATCGTACGGGAAAATCTGAGTAACAAACTACATACTAGAGGGGGGGAAATCTAGTAGATCGAACTGCTATGAAGAGAATGCTGAAGTCAAAGAATCTCTAGATGACAATTACAGGACACTTAACTGGCAAAAAGATTAAAAGTAACTACAAAAACAAGTAAAATGAATCGTACCTCTGTTCACTTGATCTCTAAAGCAAAATTTTCAAAACCAAAACAAGGATACAAAGTCGCATACCTCCATCAGCATCCTTATTCGCATTTGAACCAAAAGACGCAGAAGTAGACCGACGAATAGAGGGCCTAGCCTTAAACGACGAAGTCCTGAGGTTAGAAGCAGCATGAGGCGGCCGATCCACCTTGAAAGAACCTCTGTGAGAGCCGCTATTCCGATAAGCACCATTCGAAGCCATACAATCAACCGAAAAGTCCCCTGGATTAAGGATTCAAAGGCGTGTGGTCCTCCTTAGCTTGCTGAAGCTGCTCGGTACAAGCAGACCGTGAAAGCGAGTGAAGAAACCAGTAGTTATGGGACGAAGAGAAAGCGTTCGCTTATGCTGGCTGGCTGGCTTTATTACACTGCCAAATGATAGAGAAAGCAGTGGAGCCCAAAGGAAGTGAGAAGGAGACAGAGATGGTCGCAGATCGGTAGGTCCTACGGAGAAGAAAATCGATAAAAAATGAGAGAAAACAAATCAACCACGATGTAAAATAACCCGCCGGAGAAACCTGTGCCGCGCCCAAATCGCCCCGCCGCCGGCAACACCTCTTAAAACAAAATTAATTCTTTGTTTTTTTCTTATTTTTTCTTTTTTCAAAAGATAAAAATACTGATTTCGCGGCAAAACTAATTTAAGGGCTCATTAAATAAAAGCTAAAAATACATTTTCCGACGAAATTATAGTTTCTTTTTTAATTTTAAAATATTAGTTCCTCTAATGTGAACTCCCGAATACAAGTCGTGGGCATAACCAATTCAGGGACAGGGGCTTACCTTGAAGCAACTTCCAATGTCATACCTTTTGTCTCCCCGACTCGCTCGGAACCCAGCTTCACCACTCTACACATTTAAATTAGCCGATGTGGGACTTTCATCATCCACTCGAACATTTCGTACCTCCTCCCCTCGAACATTTTTGCTAAGTTTCGGACATGGCTCTGATACCATGTTAGATTAAACTCTCATGGCTTTGCTTTGGGCTTCCCCAAAATGCCTCATACCAATGGGGTTAGTATTCCTCACTTATAAACCCATGATCATTTCTTAAATTAGCCGATGTGGGATTTTCATCATCCAACACAAAGAACTAAAAGAGAAACTAAGGTGATATTTGAAAATTTAAGAATTAAATTGAAAGTAAATTTCATATTTAAAAGTTTATAAACTAACTGAAAAATATAATGAAATTTTATTAATAAATTAATTCAAACTTTGTCCTGTCTGGGGGCTTTCTTTAGATTTATTTTTAAATTTAAATAAACAAAAATAAATCAGAATAAAATATAAGTTAAATGCTGAAGAATTAGGGGACCGTTATGATGTGGATTTAGATTTGGGCCTCTGTTTTTTTTACTCATAATTTACCGCCCTTTCATTCATTCAAAATTATTTTTTTTATTATTTTATTTATTTATTTATTTCTTAAAACAATTTTAATAATAATATATTTTTTACCATAAATTTTTTAGATGGCTAATTCTCTCCATACTTTAATTAAAAGAAATGTAAATATATTTAGAAAGACGTTGACAAATTTAAGGATTAGATGGTTTTGCAATTTAGGCCATGAGGAGAATGAGTGCAATACTCTCCTCGAGTTTATGGATGAGTTATGACCCGTAATATGACTCGAAACGAGCTTGCAAGGTCTTCCATACCACATAGTTAGGGGCCTACAAGATGTTTCGTTTGGCTTAACGAGGATACAATTAGCTTCACGAGTTTACTAGATACTTTCGANCGGAGAAACCTGTGCCGCGCCCAAATCGCCCCGCCGCCGGCAACACCTCTTAAAACAAAATTAATTCTTTGTTTTTTTCTTATTTTTTCTTTTTTCAAAAGATAAAAATACTGATTTCGCGGCAAAAGTAATTTAAGGGCTCATTAAATAAAAGCTAAAAATACATTTTCCGACAAAATTATAGTTTCTTTTTTAATTTTAAAATATTAGTTCCTCTATGTGAACTCCCGAAATGGCATCTCAATTGTGCCCCCAATGTCATTGGAGCACTCTCTGATACAAGTCGTGGGCATAACCAATTCAGGGACATGTCTCCCCGGCTCGCTCTCTTTTCACTCGAAACCCAGCTTCACCACTCTATCTGGCTCGCTCTCTTTTCACTCGAAACCAGCTTCACCGCTCTATCTCACTGTGGCTACATTGGAGCACTCTCTGATACAAGTCGTGGGCATAACCAATTCAGGGACATGTCTCCCCGGCTCGCTCTCTTTTCACTCAAAACCCAGCTTCACCACTCTATCTGGCTCGCTCTCTTTTCACTCGAAACCAGCTTCACCACTCTATCTCACTGTGGCTACCCCTGATGTTTTAATTTAATTTTTATTAATCACTTTGTTTCAAAATTTTACACATTTACCCTAAAACCTCACTTATAAACCCAGGATCATTCCCTAAATTAGCCGTCATCATCCACTCGAACATTTCGAACATTTTTGATAAGTTTGACTCTCCAAAATGATCAGATCACTTTGTTTCAAAATTTTACACATTTACCCTAAACCCTCACTTATAAACCCATGATCATTCCCTAAATTAGCCGTCACCATCCACTCGAACATTTCGAACAAGTTTGACTCTCCAAAATGGTATGATATTGTCCACTTTGAGTATAAAGTCTCATGGCTTTGCTTTGGGCTTCCTCAAAAAGCCTCATACCAATGGGGTTAGTATTCCTCACTTATAAACTCATGATCATTCCTTAAATTAGCCGATGTGGGACTTTCATCATCCAACACAAAAAACTAAAAGAGAAACTAAGGTGATATTTGAAAATTTAAGAATTAAATTGAAAGTAAATTTCATATTTAAAAGTTTATAAACTAACTGAAAAATATAATGAAATTTTATTAATAAATTA